ATTACAAATACTAATTAAGTTGCTTTCAAGTGTTGGTGCTTTCTTTTATTTTCTGTTTTTTTTTTTTTTCAACAAGCAGATTCAGTGTAATTGGATTTTGTAAAAAGAACTTGTGATAAAATAATAAGTCATATATCATTCCAAAGCATTTAACTTCCCTTTACTTTACACGCAATTTCATAGCTACATGTCCACATAGTTAAACATAAATTAAAAGAACATCTGCCTAATGACTCAATTTATCCCATGTTCCCAAAAATAGATTTAAAGAAAAGTTATTTAGAAAAAAATTGAAAATATAGTATTAGTAAAATTGTGAAGCATTTAATAAAATTTAAAGTTTCAAAACTTACATTCAATCTAGAAAAAAGTAAATGTAAGACCTCCTGGTGGAACAAAGGGTTAAAGCATTGTACTATGAAGGTAACACAGCCACTGCAACACGAGTTGGATCACAGGCCAGGGAGGTGACCCACATGGCACAGCAGACCTCTACTGACCATCTGCTGCTCCCCTCAGCAGTGTATTTCAGTACATCTACCTGTTCTGCTTCCCACTCTGTCCCTGGTGAATCCTCTCACCACCACAACCACCATCACCACCACAATCACCCCACCTCTGGCCTGTATCCCAGTACTCTATACATAAATAAATATTTTTAAAAAGAAAAGAAAAAAAAGTTTATGAATATACCTTCAAATATTTCAAATAATTCCCCTTTCATTCCACCTTAATGAAAGGTTAGTGCTACAGTGATTTAAAAAAAAATCTTAATTGAATATAAAAGATATAAAAAGGTTCACCTAACAGGAAAAAAAAAAGTTAATTTTAGCTGCGTTCATATGGAAGGCAAATAAAAGGAGCATTGCTGAGAGAATATAGAGTTCATTCAGCACAAAGATAACATAACACTAGTCTAATTAGTCCCTTAAACCCCAGAAGGTTGAATTGTTTTTCTGTGAGAAGCTCCTGGAAACAAATGCTCTCTCTGACTAACTGTGGAATATGGATGAAGACTCCCTTCCCTAATGAAAACATCAGTGACATCTGACAGGAGTATAGTTATAAATGCAGCTGAAGACCTCGATGGAAGGCCAGAAATGACTATCTCCAGGAAGTGACTCTGGTCTCTAGAGTCCTTGTGTACTTATAACACAATAAGCTTTTCACACAGTTATTCACACTAATTGATGAAAAGCAGTGGAAGAAATAACAAGTTGAGATACAAAATCTCCTCCCTTACCAGAGGCAAGTCGTTAGCTGGTGATACATATGGAATAGAAGCATTATTTTTAAAAGAGCCCTTATGTAAGCATGATCCAACAAAAATTATATCAGAATCCCTGAAATGGCAAATAGTCTGGCGATAAAAATCATTCAAGGTAAAGTGTTCACATAATAAAACCATCCACAAAATCACTGTAGATATTCTCTCCAGCCATTTGAATTATTACATCATAACTATCAAATGACTGAAAGCACACTTAGTGTCACTTTTTTTTATTAACTGAATGAAAAGTAAAATTTTAGATAATATATACTCATTCTCAGTAATCTTAGAAAAAAAATCACATTCAACCTCCAAGTTAAATATTTGTGTGTATGTGTGCTTTTGTGTGTTGTTGTTGTTCATATGAAACACAATAAGACCAGGTCATGCCCTCACTACACAAAGAACAGTGTGTGTGTGTGTGTTTTTAGGTAGCTATCTGTACTTTCCCCATCCTGGGTGATCATGTACTCTGGTATAAACAAAGGAGAAAAAAAAATCTTTTACTAAGTCCTCTGGCTTCCCCCAGTTATTTTTAAGTGTATTGATAGTATTTGACTCTTCTTTAGTCCCTAAAGGTTTCTAACATCATCCTCTCCTGAGAGAGAAGGGAAACACAGAGCCTCTGCCCTACTTACACCAGAGGTAGGAGAAAAGTGCCTGCCAGACACAGCAATAACACTCTTGGGCTCTGGCAGGGAAAAGAAGCACCTAGTTAGGTCTCAGGGAGTCTCAGGGGGAGCGCAGCCCTGCCACCTGAGGGAAGTGGCAAGGAACTTGCCTTAGAACTCAACCTGAGAAAGGACACTAGATCATCAGCAACAGTGTTAAAGTCAGGCCATGCCCTGGAGGAGCGGGATCTTGCCACACACAGCAGTGTGTGGGGACCAAGCAGAGGAGAGACTCAGTGAATTACCCTGGCCATGCAAAGATGCATGAAAACATCAAAAGGTATCCTCACTTCCAAAGTCCCCCTCCCCACCCTACGGAGATGCATTCTTAATTGCTACATTTTCAGTTGTTAAATTATTACTGAACATAGATTTGCCATTGTGAGAAGCACAGCCAAGCCCCTGACTTCAAGTCATCCTCAGCAAAGTCTTCCTGAAGTGAACAAATCATTACCATAACATTTCTATCATCTTAGAGATTAATCCCACAATTTTTTTTTCTTTTGGGAAAAAACAATGCAAGGATTTTGTCTTATTTTTATGTTTTTTCATTAGGTTATCCTGAGGTAGGTTTGAGAAGTCTTATGTTGGTATTATTAGTAAAAATACTAATGCAGTAGTAATAAGAGCTGAATATCTTTCATATGCAAGGAAGTATCTCTATGATTACTTCTTTAATGTTTTATAAAACCAGTGCATAGTGTAATTAAGAACTTGAAAGATCTATCTCTCAGACATTATCCTATTAAAGAACTAAATAACAATAATTATTTTATGTATGTCTGCTATTTTCTTTTTCCAATTATGAAAGAGAAAATCAAATATTCCAAAGTACTCTAGACTAGAGTTTACTTAAGAGTATTATCTCACTTTTTAATCATTTCTATTTTTTTGAAATCCATGATAAAATTGAACCATCATCTGATTTCAGTTTCTTACTTTGTTCAGTAACTTTGTTTTTAAAGAGATTTGTCTCAGATGACATGTGAGGGGAAATGTGGAGAAACTTTAACGTCATGCATTTTATTCATTCAAAAAGATTTTAGCACACTATTTCAGCTCCGGAAAGGTGGTAATATGTTTTGTTTTATTTTTGTTGGTTTTGGTCCTGTGCTTTTATCCAGTAAGTGGTGAAACTTAAATTGTATGACAACTGCCACCATTTTGAAAAGTGTAGTCTCTTTTCATATTCTTCAAGAATTAAAGTAACATATGTAGTCATTTAATTGAGTGTGAAATTAAATAAAGTTTAGCAATTTACCAACTTTTAATTACTGAACAAAATAATTTCTGAATAGACCATGCTTACCTTGTTATTGAGAATGAACGATGTTTCCATGTTAAGTGTTTTTATTTAAAAAAATGTGATATGGGTTGCAACATACTTCTTTTGGGGATTAAGGGAGAGGTTGTATTCTACATTGGATTCCAATCTCTGAAATTCTAAAAATGCACTGCAGCCTTATGTAGTTTAGAACAAGGATATTTATGCTTTAGTAATAATCCCCCTAAAGAAGAAAACATGTTTGATTATTTAAGGCTTTCACTATAAACATTATTTTAACCAAATTCCTAAGAATGGATGGACTGACTATAAATGCCATTAGGTTTCATAAGTTATGCATTTTTGAAAGTAAGAACCTTAAAATTATACACTTTCTGAAATACATTCACTTTATGCATAAATAATAGAAGCTAGTGATTTTTGGCATAATATATCCAAGAAGGTGCAGACACTACAAAGCTTTGTGACTGGAGTACTGATTTTCCACAGTAAATATTATTCAGAACAGTGGACAGCTCCCATTAGAACTTCAGGAGTGTATGGCATTTCCCTTACTTTCTAAACATAAGCAAAGTAATGCTGTTTTTTATTGCTATATACGTTTGCTCTTTAATAGAAGCTTATTGAAACTGATTTGTGTGCACACGTTCCTTGAGATGATTCTTTTTCAGTTTTGAACGAGTTCGATCTATAAATAAATAATAAACACATAAGTAAAGGCTACCCGAGTTGCTAGTGCTATTTTAAATGGAAAACCCAACCTTATTCAGGAGCCATAGACCGTGGCTGCAGGGAGTGAGCACGCTATTAAGAGGATCTACTTCACGACCTTCATTTGACAATTTCGAAACATGCTTATAACCGAATGAATACTGGGCGACAAGTAAGAAGATTAGGAAACATCTTAATTTTAATTCTCCTAAGCAGTTTCCCTGACAGCTGACAGCTCTCCTGCCCTTGTTCCCGAGCTGGGAAATGGGAAACAGATTTCTGAAATAGACTTGTAGTCAAGGTCAAGAAAGGGTGTCGTTCTGTTTCAGGAAGGGGGTTCTGGAAACGCCCCCTGTCTCCGCTTCGGGAACTTGAGGCTTCCTGTCTTGCTCCTACCCAATCTGGCAGCGCCGGCTCCACAGAAATCTCAAGTCAGGGACTATCGAAGCGCAAATTACCCATCCCCAGCCTGCCAGCCACGACTCTGAAGAAATACGTTGAGGATACCCAGTGCCTCTAAGCAGATGAAAAACAGATTAACACGCCCCAGGGGGCGAGAGCCGCTGGAACAGTGAGGATCCGTGACTCACTGTCTCCAGTCGCCCATCCTGTCCTCAAGCTCGGGAGCGCCTTTTCCCTTTTGGGAGGGACCCGCTTCTAAGGGGAGCAGCGCAGCGAAGGGTGTCACCCCCAGCACGACTTTCTGGCCGCTTCCTTACACGCTCACCTCCGAAGTAAAAGTTTCCCTGATCCAACTTAGCATCCTCCCATTTCGGGGGTCACCGTGGCCTTTTTCCCCGCTCTGTCCCCAAAGTTCCCGAGACAGAGCGGGAGAGCCCACGCGGGGTTCCCGGGCAACAGGAACTCCTTCCCAAGCCCCCTCCTCGATGGAAACTAGTTGAAAAAGAGTCCACCAGCCCTCGTCGAAGCCGCAAGCGGGGAGCCCCTACCCGCTGGCCGGGCGCCCCCGCCCGCGGTGTCCCCCGGCGCCCCTTCCCCAGAACCAGCCGGCGCGCTGGAGGGCGCGCCCCAAAAGGAGGGTGGGGCGGCGAAGGAGCCTCACCTGAAATCACTGTAAGGGTGGATAATCCAGAAGCCTGCAGTTTTAACCCTTTCTTGCTCCTTCTCCACCGCCTTCTGGCTCCCAAACATGCGGAGGGAGAATTTGTTGACCCCGGGCTGCAGCATGGAGGTGAACTGCCTCTGCATGAAGCCATACTGCCGCCGGGGCCCCTCGGCGTCCTCGAAGCCCCCGGCCGGCTCCTCGCCGCCGCCGCC